AAATAAATCTGAAAAATATAGTGTTTTCAGACCCCTTCTGTAAAACCACCTTTTGGAAGCACCGGATAAGAAAATCTGCTTAAAACTGATCTGTCAGTGACATGCTATTTTGTTGGATTAGTATATAATTATACATACAATTGACTAACTACTATGATTTTTGATGAACTATGGTGTATTTTATCCCATCCCATGACTTTACATGATCTAATGTTGATTGAGCAATGTTTGAAGGATTGCTGAAGGCTCATCCAGGTTGCTGTTCCTGCATGAACCTTCACAGACCAATGTGTAAAGGGGTGTTTCTCTACTAGACTTCCACATACAAAGACTGAAACATATGTTAATTTATTTCTCTTTTTAAAAAAAACAAAAAAAAACAAAAAAGAAATAAAAAAGCTCAAGCTAAATAAAGTCAGACTGGATGGAAAGAATCCATACACATTTGTTGTTCAGCCTTGTCCCAAATTTTCGATTAATTTACCTCGTTGTGAAAAATCTTTTGCTCCCTACCAAAGTTAATATTAAATAGACACAGCCTGAGAAGAAAAAAGAGCAGATTTCAAATGATTATTTAACTCTTTTCAATAAAAACAACTTTCCAAAGCAACCTGATCCATTTAAGTGGGACTTAAAAGCTAAAACCAAAACATTAGTAAAGAGGTGAAAACTTTCTCACAGCACAGTTCAGAATCTGTAGCAATACGTTAGAATTGAAAGGTAAAAGACTCTCTTTATCTGATATGACTTTATGTTTGATACGCATACAAGATTATGCTGGAGCCTCTTTTGGTGTGCTGTGTAAAACATGGATGTTCATGCTAGTAATCACAGAAGACATTATAGACATCTAGATATATTCTTTACTTGTCTTATGTCATTTAATACTCTTTAATCCCTTCTCTCACACTTGTATAGATCAGTATTAGTAAGACCCTTAATTCTGGTCAAACACTTGGCGGTGATGTCATGGCCCCGTCCTCTGGATCTCCAAAACAAACAGATTAAATTTTTCAAAGTCTATCATCTGACTTTTGTCTAGAAACCATGGGCAAGGGACAACCAAATATAAACCCCCCTCACAGCAACTCTGGACAAAAAACCTATGCTACTACTGTTTCATATCAACCTACTGTAACTGATCAGACTTTGCATACTAATTTGTTTATGAGTAAAAACCAGACAGACAGCAGCAAATGTACACATTCAAAATATAAATATAGCTGTAGTTTAAATATAAATGATGTTGCATGAGATGATCCCTCAGCTTCATTGCACTACTTTGAATCAATAGCAACAGCTTAGACATCTAGTTTGTCATGGAAATGCTACAGTCCAAAGATCCAAACTGAACATACCTGCAGCACAGGCTTTGTTGAGAGAAACACTGGAGTTACAGCTGCCTGCTGTGTATCTTAACCCAGGTTAACACAGACTAATGTAGATACTAAAGTAATCCTGCTTTGAGGAGACAGAAGCTCAGGCTGACTGATGAGGTCTCCATGGTTAACACAGCTCCTGTGGCTGATACCTTTACCTTGTTCTATCAGTGCCATCAACATTTAATAAAATAAATATTCTATCTTGATGCTATTCATCTGTGGCTAAATACAGTATATAAAGACTCCAGACTTTGCAGCAGGGTATTAAACAGCATTGATGAATTGAATGCACAAGTATCCACAAAGGACATTGGTGTCACTGGCAGAAAAAAGTGATAGATTACACTGTCCTAAGGGGGAAGTCCTGCTCTATCAACAAGTAATGAAAAATAATTTGAAAACAGAAAGCAGCAATGAGTAACTCTGGTTTTATTGTCTGTCACAGAGCAGTCATTATTGTCTCATATGTGGGAAAAATGGGTTGACAATGTTGCTATTGATGGCAGCACATTAGTTGTTGTCCTGAGGAGTTATGGCAGACTGTGAATATGTCTGACTGAAAATCGATCACAGGCAGAAGCAGTGTTACATCCACGGAGTGATCAGTTTCAAACTAAGCGAACAAACTACATTAAACACACAAAACAACATTGTCTGGCTTTTACTTTAGGTAGGATTCAATAAGATGAGCAATCTAGAAGAAGATTATTTTTAAAAGACAACCGGCATACACCAGCCTAAAAATGCAGTGCTTTTTTTTATTATCTGATATGTCATTATGAAGACGGAGGCTCTGATCAGATAATAAAAAAAAATACTGCACACTGATCCCACTTTGAAACATGCCAGTAGCAGCCTCCTTCTTGGGGCAGTGTTTCTTTAACAGGGGCAGAAAAACGGATACAATTAACTTAGTACAGAACTCTTGAGAGAAAACTTGTCAGAGGCTGCAAAACACTGCAGAGTGGTGGGATGTAACTCAGTCTGATGGAACAAGTTTGGTGACAAATTGTAATGCTGCAATCAATGAATGTCAAGAAAAAAAAGTCTAATTTAGGAAACTAAGAAGTGATACTGACTCTCTAAAAACACAAGAAAAAGATAAAATACACAAGAAAACAGTGTGAATGTCCTTCATTGACTAATTGACTTCTACATTAACTTGAATATTCATCAAATATTCTGTTACTGTCATCATAGCCTTACTTTACCAAACATGGCTCACTGTGAAAGTTTGTCCTCCTTAGCTGCAATAAGTTTAAGTTTAAAAGATGTCTGCACATGCAGACCAGGCTGGAGCTCAACATTTTTCCCATGTCTGGATGACTTAAGCTGAAAGGACTTCTGTTATAGGTACCATGGCTGCACAAGCCATGGACTGTGCTCCATGCTGTACCCGGGCTGTTTCCATAATACCTCAATAGAACTAGGAAGGATGGGCCCAGTGTAAGTGGTTTTGCTTACAATCATTGACGAAACTTGTTAGTTAGTTGTTGAGATGATTCTTTGGAAAGACTTGTGTTTTTCAGGAAAAAGGGTCGGCAGCTCAGACACAAGCAGGGAAAATTAGGATTCTACAATTATAACAATAATTTTTAAAATGCATTTTTTTGCATTTTGTACACTAGTCATTTGTGTGTGTTAAATCTTGAATTAATTTAAATGTTAGATCATTTATTATAATTAAACTTTTTCACTTGACTTCTTCTAAAATGCACATTTGAAAAAGGGCGTTCATTATTGACTTACTACACATGAATAACAACAAATATGAGCCCTTCTGGCCTGGGGCTCATAGTTTGCTTATGATTTGGGCCATCTCTGCTGTGCACACAATTATTTCAACATTCCCTGAATGGGTAAGTGCAATCAGAGCATTTTTAACAAGTGTTCATCTTGAATATAGACCATTATCCTTATCCTTGTTTTAGAAATATAAGAATTGTAATATTGAAAGTCTTTTGACATATCTTTTGCTTTCTGTTCTTCCTTTTGTGACCAGGATAAGAGAGAGGACTCTCTTTCATGGCTAGTGTTCTGCCACTTTATGTATGTGTGTGCGACAGTCACTCTACTGTCGTGTACATTAAGCTAAGTGCCCCGCACTGCTCCTGCAGAACTAAATGGAGTCTTATGGCTTGAGGCGGGGTTTGTTTCACAACAGAAATGATCAGAATAATAAAAAAGCAGCTGACTATTAAAAAGCAGCTGATTATTAAAAAGCAGCTGACACCAAGTCCCTACTTCCTGGTTCCTAATTCATCAAAAATACTGCTGCTTTTCTTTGTGACAATGCTTTTATGTTTCCCTGTCTACAGTGCTTCTTTTTTATCCAGTCTTTGATGTGAAAATGGTGCACAAGCAACCTCTCTCCCCATCTCTATGTTTGGACAGGAAGTAGCCTAACTAGATATACTATCGTTTGCATGGGGCAGTGCAGTGGAGTCTCTAGCTATGTTTGTGTAGCTTCTAGCTTTTAATGAATATGAGTACTGTGGAGCTGGATGTCCTGTTTCTTGCATCAGTCGGCTATTCCCCTCCCTCTGCTCTCTCCCTCTGCGTTTAAAACTCTTTTGTTAAAAAAGAAAAAACAACCAAAGAGGCATTAGGATCCAATATACAGAGAGTCACCATTTTATGCTTCAGCTAAAGAGTCAGATCATAAATTTAGAGTGTTATGGCGTTGTTTATGCAATATTTAAAAACAAAGAAGATAAGAAATTGGAATGGCATTATAAAAGCAAGTTTCATAAAGGTAGAACTGTATAATTTTATTTCTTATAATTTTTTTGTTAAATCTAAAAAATGTCTTATTGAATATCTTATTGTTGAGAAATAGAAAAACAAAAAGAACAAAAAAATAAATAAAAATTAAATTATAATAATACACACACACACACACACACACACACACACACACACACACACACACACACACACACACACACACACACACACATATATACATATGTATATATCGCTGTCGCTGTCCGTGGTGCTGTCCATGGTCAGCACCATGGACAGCGACAGAGTGAGCTCTTCATGAAATGGGCTGCTCTAGTTGCAGTTTACACATTTTAAAAATTATTTCCAACCTATGTTTACTGTAAAGCTTTGGACTGCAGTCTTATAAACGATAGAGCTCACTCCATACTCTGTCAACTCTGACAAGCTTTTCTGTCACGACTTTACTGAAGGAAAATCCTCACTGCATGACGCTGCCGGGATGCTGTGTTCGTTATGACGTGCAGTTCATTTTATTTTTAGCACGAAGCACAATTAAAAAGTTTAGCTTTTGGCTACAGAGTAAGAGTTTCCTATCATAATCCCCCAAATATCAGACATTAATTCAATATATAGTAGAGTTTTCGCTTCCAAGCTCCTGAAATAAGACTCTTCCTCTTCTGTTTTATTCTCAGCTTTTCACATCAGTCACCTAACTGGATTGTTCCATCAGACGGAATTACCCGCATCACTCAATGAAATACAATTATTGATTACCAAGCCGCCCCCCTCCCCTCCCCTCTCCTCTGACTCTCTCCTACAACCACAATCTCTTCTTTCTCCTGAAGTGCTGCATGCAGCCAGAGAGGACTGCATCGGAGGGGTAACAAAAAAAAAAAAAAAAAAAAAAAAAAAAAAGAAAAGAAAGAAACCTTGTCGTGCGCTACCAGTTTCCTCCGATCCGGCTTGAAATAAAAAAGAAAGAACAAAAGAAAACAAGAAACAACAACAAAAACCCAACCCAGAAAGATATTCAACATTTTCCAGGAGGCGAAAACAAAGTGTGCTGCAATGGGTTACTTGGCTCAGTCCACTATTCACGCCTTATGGACGGTAAGGAAATACTTTTGCTTTTAGAGGCATCCGAAAGAACTGGGGCGGACTGGTTTTCTATGCGTCTATGCTCGCTCTCTTATCAGATTTGTTTTAAAATATCGCGGATTATTATGTAGGAAAGAATTATCAGCAAGTATCAAGTTTTTTTCTTTTGATTTTAATTTATTTAAGGTTATTTTCCTCTGCTTTTAAAAGTCTAGAGCGAGGAATTCTGATAATAGTCAGAAACATTAAACTATAACGCCTTTTACAATGAATGCATTTCGTATTTTAGCGCTCTTATAATCCTTGTTTTTTTTCTTTTCTTGGGCATTATGAGGCAAAAAATCTGAACCCCGTTTTTACGTTAAACTAATGTCCGGGTTGTTTAGCTTTGGACTACAGCACACTATACTGAAAGTCTTCTTGGTTTGAGCGGAGCTGGCTGCGGATCGTTGATGCCTTTTGTGCCGGACAGCCACCTGCCCTGAGGCGGTTAAAGCACTCTGCTCTGCCGCCGAAAAGAGAAGAGGAAGTGGGAGCAGGCGACTGACTCATCCCTGAATTGCACCTCAAGAGGCAGAGAGCGACTGACAGGCGTACAGCCGGTGAACTGGAAATCTGTGGCAAAGTGCTTTGTTTGCATTGCCGTGGCTGTTGCAGCCCTGCTGGGTTAGCACTGATGGGAGCATTCAAAGAACAGAAACTTTGACTAAAGTGGCTGTAAACTGTGGAACGGTTTATGAATTGTATTATTATATTTATCAGTAATTTAAACTTCTTCTTTCTGTCTGCAAATATAAGTTAAAAACCCCTCAAGGATCCACATGGGTTTCCACCCAGGGTGTAATCCCTTTGGGGGATGCCAAGAGGGAGCAAAAAAAAACCCAGCTGAAAATATATCTTTCATCTGTAATTTGCTTAAAAAATTGAGCTACTATAGTACTGCCTTTTTACGTTGTGAGCTTGGAAACAAAAGATAGCCATATTCCTCAGATATTAATGCAGTTCAAGTTAATACCTGATTCACATCTTCTTACTTTATCTTAACATTTGTAAAAGTTACATCCTTAATTAATTAATTAATAATTAATAACTAGATCTAAACAAATTACATAAAGCTATAAAGGACATACATCCAAGTTTGATAAAACTTAACCTGAAAATGTTTTGGACTATATACAGTTAAAACGGTGTGTTAATAATTCAGAGTTAATCTATTTTACTCTAAATAGATTATTGAGAACTACACTGATTGTAAATCTGGTCAAGTGTTGGAGTTTATAGTCAGTGAAAAATTTGACAGCCTTGTGAGAGTATTTGGTCCCATGGAACTTTTCAAGTTTTTGGTACATTTTGGGCTTCATAAAGATTAAATTGTGTTTTTTTTTCTGAAGAATCAACAAGTGAGACAGAATCATGAAGTGGAACAAAATTTATTGGATATTTTGAACTTGAAACAACTTTACTTTCAGTGCAGCAAACGCTCCAGAATATCAGTGAGGATTCCTGAGGCTGTATCCAAACCCCTTAACCCCTAAATCCCTCAGTCACTATATAGAGCGAGGACTTTATGGTGGACCTTATAGTGAAGTCAGTTAACTGATCGGTTGGACAGATGATCAATGCTTTTTGCTAACCATTGGTTATGTAACTTTGTCTTCCCACATGGTGCATGTGCCATCTGTGTAATTTTTTGCTGCTCACACAACCCAATAGTGGGCCGCTGTGACAACTAATCCATTAAATGTGGATATCCCAGATCAGAATTTGTTAACTATGTGGTGGAATGGCATAATACTAACATTTCTCAGAAAGATAAATATAACCCAATACTGGAGCTCCACGCATAGTATATGACGTAATAATAGCTTGCAATCATCTGATCTTCTGAAGTCTCTTTTTACCTGGGGGATGTGTAGTGACACAGTTCCTATGAAACATGCAGTGCTAACATTTCTTTAATTTCCACAACAGCTATCCTCTCTTCTTCCTCTCCCCAGTCAGTAGTGGCATCAGTCTTTGACTGAATCACCTGACTGAAGATTTCCCAAGCTGCAGCCGCCTTCCAGATGAGGTCACAGGCTTTCCGGGTCAATGGGATCATGTGCAGCTTTAGCCACTTAGGGAATAGACCCTGTTCTTCTGACACTACGATTCAAAGGGGCAGGGTGCTGTTAGGTCAGATCTAACTTAAGTTTCAGGAATGTCTGCTTAAACAGGAACATTACCAAAAACAATTTAATATCCTGGTGATGACATGTTACGAAAATGGAGGACATCTTTATCTTTGAATTGGAATTAGTGGCAAGTTTGAATTAATAGGGCTCTTTTAAATGAAGGACTTGGCTTATAGAAAACCCTCACTGACTGATATATACAATGCTGACTTATGATATTTCTTTCTTTTTCCAGAATTTTTCATATATTGATTTTCATTAGCAAATAAAACCTCTTTACATAAAATATGATTTAGATTTTATTATATCTGGCTAAACCTCTACAAACAAACTCTTTCCAGCCTTCTTCATTTTTTTATAAAGAGACAATTCAGGACAATGTGATACTTGACCTACAGTTTGCTATTATTTCTATATTTATATTCTAAAAAGGGCCAATACAGAGCACAATGCAGAATTTGGTTATAATCTTGGCTAATGCTTTTTAAAAATGCAGCAGTAAGCGTACAACAACAGATAATTACAGATTAAACAAAGCTTATAGCTGGGTGATTAATTGAAAATAATGTTTTAAAATGTGAAGATTTGCATGTATATTGTCACTGGAAATGAACAAAGAGAAAAAGTGTTAAAAATCGGGAGCATTGGAATATAGTTCAAGCGAAGAGAAAATTAAAATACGGTTGCTTTGCTTGGCAGTGTTTGGGGCCACAGAGGTTGATTGTGATTGCTCAGGCTGTCTGACACCTCGGGGTCCCGTCAGTTGCCATCAGGTGAGGGTGGGTGGCCTGCGGGGCGTCCTCAGAGCCTCATCACGGCTGACAGCACGCCTCACCGTACACTCGGTTGATTCGCTGAAAGGCAGGGTTCACCGGAATCTGCTGCATGCTGTGTTTTTTGAGCAAAAAATTGTCCATCTTGCCTTAACCCTGAAACAACAGATCATTTCAGTTCAGTGACACCAACAAAGTTGGACTTAAACCATAAAAACAGCTCTGATGTCAGAGGAATAAAACCTTAAGCTGATTGATTTTTTTTACAACAAGCAGCATTTTAAGGAGGAGAGAAGAGTTTTGACACCTAAATCCTCCGACTAACCTATAAGGTATCAATCTACAAGAAAAAAATACCAAAATAGTTGTCATTTAGTTTTTTTAGGTGGGATATTGCTTTTTGGAGAAAGAAATTAGAAAGCAAAAAAGTGCTGCAAAGGCTAATATGGAAGGCCGGTACCTATACAGACATCATCAGCCTGAGCAAAGGCATCCAGTTGTAACTACAAACTGCTTCTCCATGAGCCAAAAGAGATTAGTAAAGTCACCTTGAATAAGCAATGTCATTTTGCTCAGTAAAATTGCATTATGGAAGCTGGAGACGGCCCTGTGATTTGTGTCCCCCTGACAGGGCTTCAGTGTTCATTAGAGGCTGTGGCGAGGAGCTCTCAGAGACACTAGGACCAGAGACACAAGGCAGCTCAGAGCTCCCTCACCCATCCTATCAATATGCCCTTATTTAGCATTTGTTTGTAAGTAAACTCTTAGTATAACTCTGAATATATCCCAGCCTTTGAAAAACAGACATTAAAAAATTAGGTTCCTTCTCATCGTTGGTCAGTAACCATGGGACGAGGTTTCCTAAGTGTGATGTTTCCTTGCCTTCACTTATCTCTAGTTCCAACAGAGACCTGAATAGATTGAGGCCTGAACCCTAAAAAGGGGAGCTCTGGTATCTTCACCCATAATAAGGAGATTATCCTACAGATTGAAACAAGTTGTTTCTGTACTTTTTTACATTTTTTTCAACTTTTAATAAGAAAGTATATGTTATTGATTGATTTATTTAGATAAGTTTAATACACGCCTTTTAAGCAAAACAAATACTTTGTGTTGTACGTAACACTCATAATTGTCAGTGAATATGTAGCTCTGTCAAACTAAAAAGAAGTCCATCTCCATCAGCTGCTTGTTTCAGAATTATTCTTAAACTCCTTCGGCATATGTCGCTCAGGCTGATTTTGGATCATTCTTGCCCATTTTATCTACAAAATCAATGGCTGCTGAGGGACTGATTCTAAAGGTTTTAGCTAAGAAAGACTTTAAAGAGGCTAGATTAGTGTCAGCTGAACCATGGGAAGATTTAGCTTTACGTTAATTATCCCTTTAAAATATCCAATGTTGTTAACTTTCCTGGGAGAGGGTTTCAGATTTGAGTTTTCCAGCTATTTCAAAGATTATATGATGATATTTAATGGAAAAGAAACATTATCATCATGATAGATCCTTCATTGTTATCTTCTTAAATTGAACTGAGAGTTCTTAGTATTGGAGTCTTTGCTTGGTTTTCTGATTAAATGGTCCTAAATTATAGTAGATTTTTTTTTCAAGATTATTTAGAGTTTATGCTAAATATGCAATAAATATAAAATATCAATGCATACTCATCTTCTCTATGTAAAATATTGATATATATATGTGCCTTTAGCGGTTAGCCATGTTCCATATCCAAGCATTTCACATTAACATCATGCAATCTCAATGAAAAGCTTACTTATGTGTGTCTGTGTTCCATTAATTGAATTTCGTACATAACTTTGTTAATTAGATTCCTTTTCACAGACCTTATAGTAAGTCAGCAGATTCAGTATTTCTATTAATAATCACCTCTTCAGCTCCCATGCCAGCTCATGAAATATACAAAAAGGAGACAAACTGTGGAAATTGAAATTTTTTTTGAATCTAAAGGGAGCTATTAGTAAAAAAAATTAAAGTAACTCTCCCTCGCATCAATCCGAGTGATTAAAGGGTCTGGAAGAAGACTGTGTGGATGATTAAAGAGGTTTTGCTGCATTAGTGGGAGGTTATCTTTTAAAGAAGGGTGATTATGGATGTAGTAATGGTATCTATTAAACACCTTATAAAATTTAAATTTATTTCACTTTGATTTTAATCTCGTCCCCTTTTTTAAACTTATTTGTCTGGTGTTTTTCTTTCTGCTGTCTTTTAGCCTGTCTGGTGATTGCTGGAGACTTTAAGGGTTATCTCCTGCGGTGACTCAAGAGTGCATCATTTCTAGATCCTCTGATAGCACCAACTCTCCATCCGCCTGTATTGAACTTTCCTTTCCTTCTCCCATCCTGCTTCCATCTCTATCTAACCAATAAAGGTTAACTTCTCAGAGCAATAATGGAGGACACCTACAATAACAGGACTTCTCTGGTTAAGGGAGCCAAGGACATAGTCAAGGAGGCCAAGCGGCACGCAGCTAAGAAGGTCAACAAGGCGGTTGATCGCGCTACAGATGAGTATTCCTCTCATCGCAACTACACGCGATTCCAGGATGAGGAGGATGAAGATGAGGATTTCTACCACAATCAAAAAGTGAATGAAGGAGAGGGCTACCGTGAAAATGAGGAAGGCTCCAGCGATGCCACTGAGGGCCATGACGACGAGGATGAGATCTACGAAGGGGAGTATCAGGGGATCCCATCCGCCGGAGACAAGAAACATAAGGAGGGCCAGGTGGTGAAGGGAACACTGGTGTCAGACGCCACAAGGGACCGCAGTGAGCTGGAGCAGGAGAGGGAGGCAGATGAAGAGGAGCTGGCTCAGCAGTACGAACTGATCATACAGGAGTGTGGGCATGGGAGGTTCCAGTGGCAGCTGTTCTTTGTACTGGGACTGGCGCTGATGTCAGATGGTGTGGAAGTGTTTGTGGTGGGATTTGTCCTGCCCAGCGCAGAGACGGACATGTGTGTCCCAAACTCCAGCTCTGGATGGCTAGGTAAGTTTCCTGTCTGTGTTAAATAGTGTCTTGGTGAACATGGATGCACCTGTGCTGGCAGGTAGGCGTACTCTATATTCAGCTGATACCGTCTTGGATCCGGGAAATTATCATTATCATATATACATACATTCTGTTGCCAGAGCTTACAAAGGATCCACTGTGCTTTTCAAAAGTATTCATACCATTTAATATGTTTCACATTTTGTCACATTGCTATAACAGTCTCTATGTATTTAACTTAATTTAACTCATTATAGCTGACAAGCATGAGTCTAAGCATCTAAGCATGAGTCTTTCTATTTGTGCTAAGAAACAAACACTGCACCTTGGCCTGAGGGATGTTTTTTTCTTTCCAACACAGACAGGGAAGCTGCTCAGAGTTGATTTCAGGATCAATAGAGCTAAATAGAGAGCCATTTAAAGCTAAAAACCTGCTGGTCGAACAAGCTAAAGCATACAGCCAGAACAGCAAGGGGCTGGTTAGAATAACGTGTTTAATTGGCCCAGTCAAAGTCAGGGCCTACATGTTATTGAAAGTTTGTGCTAAAATCAAAAATTAATAAGGCAGTCTGACTGAGCCTTAGTAATTTGGCAAAAAAAAAAACTGGATGAAAGCCTCGAGCTGCAGATATGTAAAGCTCTTACAAAGATAGACCAAAAAGTTGGTTCCAGGAAACACTGACTTCCACAATGTAAAACACTATGAAAACATGGTGATTTCCTTCCAAGTTTACATAGTTCTGCATTTATAAATGAAACAATTAAAATGCAATGCCAGCAGTCTATGGGCATAAGACAGGGTACACAATGGTCAGGTCGCCAGTCTGTCGCAGGGCAACAGAGCGCACACTCACACCTAGTGACCATTTGGAGTTGCCAATTAACTTTACAGTAATATTTTTGGACTGTAGAACCCAGAGTACCAGTAAAGGACCCATGCATGAGAAGAACATGTAAACTAAAGACCGTGAACAATTAAGTTCGTAAAAAAAAAAAAAAAAGCAGTTGGTAAAACAAGAACTACACAGGTTAAAGGCCAACACAGCTAATAGCTTGAATCCTCAGCATCATATTTCCAGTTTTATATGTTACCTATGTGTTGTTTCAGTCCACTGGTCTGTGTGTGTGTGTGTTGAGAGATAAAATGTATTCCCTGTGTGCTCTTTGAGTTTCAACAGTCCCTGTAGCTGCAGGTGTATAATCCATCACTGCAGAGCTGTGTACAGAGGTTGACTCTCTGTGTCAGAACCAGAGTGGAGAGGACATTAAATCAGACGTAGTGCCTTACTAACCACCACAGCAAGGCATGGCAATTCTCCAAGTCCTTAGAAACACCTGAGAAAAAGCAGAAGAAACGCTCCATTTATGAAAGATTTGCATAGCTGAAATTTTTGCATTTTGCATTCAAATATTTATTGATGTTGCAGTGGTAAAAAAACAACAACATACAAACACCCATAGTTGCTCTCTTCCAAACCTTCTGGGTCTTTTAAAGAACCAATTTAAAACCTTTCTTCTTTTATAGCCAAGATGAACCTTTCATAGGTATTCATACTCTCTGCAGTGATCCCCTTTGTTTGTACCTCCCTCCTTTATTCCCTGTCCTTTTCCTCTCATCCTCCATTCAATGTGCTTCTCTTTTCATCTCCTATTCTCCCCCATTCTTCTCATCTTTCTCCCTCTGATTGGCCCCAAGGCCCCTCCTCTGGTGATGATTACAGTAGGCGTGTGTGTGTCTGTGTGTACTTTCATGATTGCTTTGACCTTGTTGCTATCTATTTAACAATTACATTATAGTGTAACTAAAGTATAGTATAAAACATACTTCATTTACACTTTGGATGAGTTTAAACATTGAAATGAGTGTCTAGTTACCACCTAAATGTGGATGAATATGCAACAGGGTGCCATTTAATGAGATGCAGGTTGGGTTGATGTGGAAACAAAATAACCTGTCAAGTTTACCACAGTGCAGATTCTGACTGTTACAGAGTATGGTGCAATAACTGATGATCTTTTAAAAAAAAAAAAGATTATTTGGGCTTTAGTGGCCTTTTTTTAAAAATTATAATTAAAAGTAGGAAGACAGGAAATGGGATTAGAGAGAGGGGGAAGACATGCAGCAAAGGTCAACAGGCCAGGACTTGAACCTATGACATCACATCAGAGACAAATGCGTCTGTAAATTGGTTGCACGCTCAACCCCTGCATCACCGCCATGCCCCAATTGATTTAATCTGATTCTATTTTAAAAGGGACAATCCAAATGCCTTTTTCCATCCATAGATCAAAAACAAACAGAACACAAACATTCATACCTTCAAACATACAGATTAATTTATTCAATTTCCTTTTAGATTTAATAAAGTATTTTGGAACTGAATATGTGATAACAATGTATTTAAGTGGATTTATAAATAATAATAAAAAAATAGCTAGGGAATAAACAGGGGACATCACAGGATGAGAACAACATGGATCACACCAGAGTAACAGGAGAACCCAGCAATTAACAATGATGGTTGGTCTTTAAACGATGACTGGTACATATAACCTTTTGTGTTTTGCCTATAATGGAAAATAGAAAAATATGGAAGCCATGTGCAAAGAAGGTTACAGAAAAAACTGTATTATTAACTATATTATTATACTATTTTTCTTTCTAAAATTTTCTTTACTCCATTAATACTTTCACTTCATGACTTTCCATCTTCAGCATGATTAAGTGTAACTAAGTTGGAAGCATTGACTGTAAACACAAAAAAATGCAGTTTTTGCTGATATGGAGTGTTGTTAGCATGCAAACTACAGCTGATAAGTCAAATAAGATATTAAGGAAAATACATAATTCTACTAATTTGGTTAATTTGAATATTTTCATTCTATTGATTAGCTGTAAAACTGCAAAATTGGGGCTATATCTGCATACCAAGGGATTTCAACCCAAATTCTTGGGTATGAGGACGTGCAAAGCTGGGAGAAACAAACCCCAAAAAGTCTGGCAGCTGCTTTTGAAGCAACTGTTCCTTCATTATTGAATCAGAACAGCAAATCCCCACCATGGTTCTTAAATTTCATTTGCAATTAAAATCGAAAGCCAGATTGAAATATACCCATGTATGTTTAGTATTTCTATTTTTGCAAGGTACCAGAGATGTGGGATCTGGAGTCAACAAGTCATCTCTATGTCATGTATTTGTTTTGCCCAGCCAGTGAACCAGGCGAGTCCAATCTGCACAGGTTAAACCAGACTGCACTTACCTGGTTCAGCAGATGGGCAGAACAAATACATGAGATAGAGGTGACTTGTTGACTCCAGATCACCATCTCTGCAAGGTACTGAACCCATTTATTTAAAGTAAGCCTTCTGTGGTAAAAAGGCACAATTTCTGATGCCATAATTCTTTTGTTTCCCCCACTAGATACAGTAAGAATGTTTAAGAACTACAACAGTACACTCATACCAAATACTTTCAAATGTAATTTATTTACCCTGTCGAGCCTAATAATAGATACATTTCTCTGATATTAACTCTGCATCCTGAGTTTCTTGAGTAACTAGGCCTCATGTGCATTTATAACAATCACTGTGGCAGATGATAACAAGGAGAAAGGGAAGCCATGTGTTGGAGAATAGGAGCATGTCTGTGTGTAGGGTTAGCTGTAAAGGTAACTGACCCATGCAAGTTAACCGCAGGCAAAAGAGATTTCCCTCTATGTATGACATTGGAAATGCATTTTAAAGTAAATTAGTCAGTAAAAGTCAGAGCATCCTTTAATCTTCCTGGATAAGAGAATTAAAATACTCAAATATTTGGAGTTTATGTTTTGAAATGCTTTGGTTGATTCTAGCTAGTTTTATGTAAATCTCCTCCGTAAACCATTAAGCATCAATGCACACATTGACTCTGTTAAATGATAAGGATAATTCACAGCTATTTCTAATGTTTAATAGGTACATAAACATGTTTTTGTTGAATAAACCTGAAAATATGAACAAAAAGTAGGGAGGACAGAAGCAAAGGGACAGCCATGGAGACGTTACAAGTCAGAGAGGAGTAATGGGGTGGGAGGTGTAGGCGGACTGAAGCGATGAGGTGGAGACTGGTAGGATTGCACACAAACCCAACCAGGGAGAAGCTTAGCTATTATCTTAGACACAACAGACAAAGGGGTTGCATCACCCTATCATTACTTATTTCTTGATGTGAGCCGCCTTTACCTCCTGAAACGCCCCTCATCTTTTTTGTTTGATTCTCTTATATAAACACTTCTCATATCTCCTAATTTTCTTGTATGTCTGCTGACCTTCTTTTTGTCGTCTAACTTCTTTCTTTAGATTTATTACAGCAACCCTCATACCTACTTTCCATTTTCCATTCCTTTTGTCTCCTGTCAATGTAAAGCCAGCTGGTTGACTGTGTGGGGCTGTGTGGCCCTGGTGCAACTGAGCGTGGCTAAACTGCAGTGAGATCCCAGCGTCACTGCAGAGATTACTCAGCTTGAATAGTGCAGCTAACTCTAGGTTGGGTGGGAGTGAGTGTGGAGAGGGGGGTGGAAATATCTCAAAGAATTAGATTTTTCTCTGTGTTTTTTTTGTTATATTTTTGGTCTTGGGGGGTTTGAAAGGCTTGGCATAAAGAGGATGTTTCTGACAGGATTATATTAGGTTTTTCTCTGCATTTGTAGAAAAAAAATAAAATAAAAATGACTTGAGCACATTCATGCACAAATTGGGTGGCACTTCTCGCAAAGCATTCCAGGATATATCTACTCATCTAGTGACCATGGATTATCACTATTTTGGGTGATCTGCCTATTTAGGTGCATTGTGGGAAATTTCGAGTCTAATATTTTTTCATCCACTAAATGAAACAATGCTCCTCTATTGTGATTAGGTTGGACATTCAAACACAGCCAGTCACTATTTTTTTATAAGATACAAAAAAACCAAACTGTACCTCTTTAAGAAATATTTGAAAAATGCTTATAGAAAG